TATCATTATTTTTGCTACCATTAAAATTTATCCCAGTAAGGGACAAAATCACCAAACTTTATGCTGCAGCCTTGATTGAATCCTGTGCAGAATTTATTAGAGCACAGAAATCACAACTCGGAAGTCAGTAGGAGTTTGTCGTATCTGAGGGCAGAATTTAGTGTCTTGTGCTATTCCAGGCTTCGTGTTGGGCTTGTTCCTAATCATTGAGGAGGGTTCTGGTAGATGTCAAGTGAAGAGAAGAATAGAGCACGCATCCCTCACCACTCAAGCCAGACAATGAAATTAGAAAATTGCACTGAGAGTTACTGTGAGAGAATTCCCCTGGATTCCTAAAGGAAGAATAAAACAAGAATGTATTGATTACAAAAAAAAAAAAAAACAAAAAACAAAACACAAAAAAACCCCCAAGAACTTAAAAAAATAAAGCAAAAAGGAAGAGAGGGAAAAAAACAAATTAGAGAAACCTTGCCAAAATCCTCCTCAGAACCTGTCTACTAATAAAGTCCGACATTAAAAGCTGTATTGTCCTTTTATATAAAGGCGCGTGTACTTACTGTAGTTTCTGGTTCTGCATTTTTCAAATCTCTTAGCGATCATTTTGCATGCATATGCTGTTTGCAGCACTACGCGCTTTTATTTGAAGACTGTTTTCAGAAGTCATTATTGAGCTATAGGATAAAAAGGTATAAGCATAATTATGTGTTAAAGAGAATGAATATGTTCTGCTAGATAGTTAACCAGGTGAGGTTAAACAAGATAAGATGCATTCTGGTCTTTTTAGAAAACTGACAGTCTTCATTTTAAGCTACAATGTAAAGTGCTTTATCCTGAGATTAGGTATTGTGGCAGAAGCTAAAACTGCCTTTTTCCCCTAACCGTGCCAGAATACAACCTCCTTTTCTTTTTGCGCTAACAAGACTGCTTTACCACCACAGCCCACTCTAAGTAATTAAATCAATCCTTTGTACTTACCGTATTCTCCTCTAGTGACGGTACTAGATCTGATTATATGCTTCATGCATATTCAAAGTACGGCACTGACAGCTCTTTAATGAGCTCTTACTTAATCAGTACGAACAATGTTCATCTTGTTCTTTTTTTCCCTCATACATTAGAGCTAGGAACAGTTGGGGAAAAAATGAAACATCCAGCATTCATTTGAAAAATATATTGTACTTTGAAAAGTGTCTAAGCTGGGGAAGTTGCATTCTGCCCTTTAAAAGTCTGATGGACAAATTGGATTACTAGTATTGGATTAAATAACAAATGGTTAGAGGAGAAATGAGAAAAGCTCGCTGTGATCACAGGCTTTAATATTTTTTGTTACTTATAAAGCTGAAGGGGTCTTTAACCAGTTATTAAAGTCAGGATTAATTTGTAATGGTCCAACTTACTAGCTTTAAAAGGGTTTTGTTGTTGTTGTTGTTGGTGGTGGTTTTTTATCGAAAACAGTAGTGTAATGCATGTATTATGGAAAAAAATTTAAGATCTGTGGGCTATTTATAGATTTTCATCATCTTGTACTGGCTCAGATAAGGGGTTTGCATGCATGGGATCAATTTGTTCTCAAACATGTTTTTTTGCTTCATTTAAATAATCTGTACAGTATTTTTTTTCCTGAGAATAACACAGATATTTTCCCAATTTTAATTTTCAAGCATTTGTAGCAAGTCAATTAAATACTTGTTTTACACTTGGAAAGTGGAAACAAAAACAACCCCAGCAGCAGCAGGCGTTTACAGAGTTAAACTGTGTTGAAGAAAGGCTTTTTCTATTTTTTTTATTTAGAAATTGTAAATGTGAGTTTAGCTTGCAGTATCACTGCAATAGCAACACTCAGGTTTTCTTTGTTGAAAGTGTCTCATGTGCATCCTTCCACCAAGGACGGGGGCTGTATATGAAATTAAGTAATGTGCTAATGGCACTGTATTTGCTGAAAAGTGTTATTTAAATTTCTTATATGTATGGGAATTTATCTTTGTTTTGCTTGCCTGGGAAGAATAGTTTTCAGCTCCATGTGCAAGAATTTAAAAGCTGTCAGCCAACAAATAAAATATCAGCATTGACTGCTATTAATATTGCACACATGTGTCATTTCACTGATCAAAAAGGCCTTCGCCAGGGTACAATTGGCCTTTTTCCAAATGGCAAGCTTTTTCTCAGCTTTTTCTTTCTTACTCTTTCTTCTTTTGTTGCTGCCCGTGGATTTGTGCCTATCGCAGCCGATATCACATGACCGGTGTCAGGGCATCACATGGGTCCAAAGCGAATACAAAACTGGATTAAAAATTCTGTAAAAACAATCAAGACTTTGTTAACTCACTTTTAAACTAGCCTATTCTATGGATATTAAGTGTACTTTGCTGTCAGCATGGAAATACCAGGATAGGCACCTGTTCAGATCTGAACCGACAGCTCCAGGCTTTACCTAGATCTTTTCTCGTTACATGTTGCAACTAACTTTGTTTAGGAGGAATGCACTAATAGAAAGAATTTATATCTTAAGTTTACGTTCTCACCCTGCAATTGCATGGCATGAAATGCAAGTTCTGATCCACCATTGAGTCGAATTCCTTTGAAACGTTTCTGTCTGCTGTTTCTTTTTCAAGGCTTGTAGAACGAAGTGCAGCAAGAGCTTGCGTTTATAATGGCATCTTTTAGCCAGAGATCCCAGACCACCCCAAACCCAACAAATTTAGTGTCATAAATTGATTAAAATGTTACTATAGCCCCATATGTCTGCTTGTGAGAACTTTTTTTCACCAGCAGTGTGGCAATCTCATGCGTCACAGAATAGACTGGTCATTTTGCAAGGATAGAAAAAGCAGTCTAGCCCCTTTTTCTTGTCCTCTTCACTAAATAAATTTCAGCTACTTGGTGCACTTCAACGAAAGGTTGCTAATATTGATTATCATCTACTTCTAAAAGCAGACCCTGTTAGATGGACCAATACAGCAATGCCTTTGATCTGTAACTTAACAGCAAAGTGTACTTACAAGTGTTAATCCTCTTTGAGGGAGTGCTGAACTGCTGAATATTATTATAAATGCCGTAGTGTAATATTTGCTGCACAAAACCAGAAGTTGGAGGTCTTGAGGGAGAGCATTTCTACGTGACAAATTTCTTCCTTCATCACTCCCTCATCTGGGAGGTTGACCCTGCTGCTTCTGCTTGGAAAAAGGCTGCAGGGCAATCCCCACTTTAGGACGCTCTGCCCTTCCCATCTTGCCACTAGTGAATCGTGTACCCTAAAAGCACCCTTCTAGGAGCAGTTCCATCAACGAGAAGCTGCCCAGGTGATAAGTGGATATGGGGGAATGTCTTACATTGGGAAGAGGAGCATGCCAAATGGCATAACTTTTTCTTACTGTGTGGGTCCACCAGCTCCACCCCAAGCTGACCTGCTTCCCTGTTCATCTCCTTTTCCTTCCCTTGTGTGGATGTATCAAGCCCACAGGCCACGGTGGGGGGAATCAAACAGTTTGGAGAAGGTTCGTGAGCTTCCTTTGCACGCAACAGGGTCACAGCCAGGTGAGGAGGTGGTTCTCCATGCAGATCTGGGCTTGCACACTACTGTGCTGTTGGGGTGTGAATGTGCACGTGGCAGGCACAAACGTGTGAGCATTTCAAACACTGCCATCCAGAAACTGAAAGCTTTCTTTAAGAGCAAAACATTGGTTTTTCTGGTGTCTTTCCAGCTTCTGGTTTAAGTTAGTAAGATAGCTTCCTCGAACATACAGCACCTAGCATCAGAGGTTTAAAAGCCCTTTACAGACATCAAAGAATTAACTTTTAGAACCCCTTGGAAGATTGGTAGAGGTGATTATCCCTACATTACGCACAAGACGCTTAAACTCAGAGATCTGACCACAGTCTCCTGGTGAAGCAGTGTCAAAGCTGGGAGAAGTACTCAGAAGACCCAGCTTATTATGCTCCTTTGCCACTATTCCAGGTTTCTTCCCAGATAAATTTTAACCGTAAGAAATGTGTGAGTTTCATAATTCAGCGAGGACCATATAGCCTCTGCTCCTCAGCTCAACTTGAGAGATGAGAACGGCAGGTCACCACAGAGATGCAGTCTCCACAAAGGACTTTGATGAGGCTTCTTCTAGTCCTTAAGCTCAGAGAGAGTGGAATTTGACTGAGCAGCCCTGCTACGTGGAAAGGACAGTCAGGAGCCTTCTGGACACTCTTCTACCTTTCCCCCACATGGCCTGATGGTACAGAGGTGGTAACGTAGAGTCTTACAGAGTCCGGTAGAGCGTAGCACTGCCTGCAGGTAGGCTGTTGGAGGGTCCTGATCCCCTTCCTGCCTGGGAGGCAGTGATGGACATGGGCTGGGGAAAGGTGTGCTAGTCCAAGCATACACACATGGGGACCCTTACGCACCTGGACCCAAAATGATTTGTATTTGTGCAGGTGCTCCCTTTGATTGTGGGCTGAGGAGAGGAGCAGCTCTTTCCAGCTCATCATCTGGAAGACCGGCCATAAGCTCAGAGAAGCTGAGCAGGTGCCCATGCCTTGGCCAAGGGCTCAGGTTTACCATCTCCTTTGCAGCTACTTTGATCCCTACCACGTCATCCTGACTACGCTGGGTTTGCATGGGCAGAGAGGATCTTGCACACAAGGATTGTATTGGTGTTTGGAAGCGTCTGATGATCAGACATCTTTTAGCAGCAAGGTTTTTTTCATTGGAAACGTTAGAACAATATAGTTCTTTCAGAAGAATTAAAAAGATACAGTACTTTTTAAAAGGTGTTTATTTAGGTCAGGGTACCAGCGTGATAAAGAACACTAAAACGTATGCTGAAGAATGGCTGCTTTCAAAGATTTCTTTATGGAGCGAGCAGGACTTGTAGTCATATGATATTTTTACCATTTGAGAGTGTGCCTTGTAATGCTCAATGATACTGGAGACCGACACTCCAAAATTTGAAATGAAGTATGTAGCTCAATTTGTGAATGCCACTTCAGTAATGAAATTCTTTCTATGGCAGGAAGAAACACAGAAGAAGAAGAAGCTATGATGCAGGAATGGTTCATGCTGGTTAATAAGAAGAATGCTTTAATAAGACGAATGAACCAGCTTTCTCTTCTGTAAGTATGGATGGACACATTTATTTACAAAAGGATGATTTGCTGAAATATTTAGCCATCAGATAGATGCAAAACTTTTTTCTGTCCTCCCATTAGACTTCAAAACATTTCCCTCAAAAGTGAGTAGCGTGAGTGCTTTGTGGAACACATCAAGTAACTTGTTTTTCTCATATTTCAGACTTGAAAATGAGAAGCATGCAATGACAGAAGATTAGCCAGAGCTGTGGAAAAAAAAAATAAAGAAATATTAAGCACAGTTACATTTCCTAAGGCCCAATAGTAGAATAAAATTATATTTTAGAAATGCTCAAATAGTTTTGGGTTGTGCCTCAGATGTGGCAGGTGAAGACTATGTGAAGAGAGAACAAAATCTGAGTCGCTACTTGCTTTGTAGAAATCCTCAATCCCGTTGCTAGTTCAGCAGCACCAGACTGCTGAAGGGATATTGGTGAATCAGTCAGTGTGATGGTGTCACCAGTACTGCAAAGTGAGGACAAACAAACTTTTTTTTGCTAGCATCGGCAAGGAAGGGAGAAGGCACTGCTCATTTTTAGACGCGTTCTGCCCTCAGCGCTTCTTTTCCAGATGCTTTCGGTTTGATTATATTTCTTTCAGTAATGCCACCTAGTGTAGATGCCTGCATACTTCCCTGGGAAGAGCCTGTGCTCACGAATTTCCTACCGTGTCTGAACCTGACAGAAGATTCTACCTTCAAAATATTAAGCTTTCTAATCCCATGTCTAATTTTCAGTGTTCATTAGGGCAGAATGTATATAGGATAATACTTCCAGTGTCATATTATCTTGGTGCTGGAATTTGTTCATTAGATCTGGGGGAATGTTTTATACTTAGGACATTCCACAACAGCCGCTCCAAGGATGAACATGAAATAATTACGTCCTGTAGCACAATAGAGTTAAACTGACAGCGTTAAAGCCGACGTTACAGAAGATGAAAAGGCCCTGTTACTGAATATGCCGCCTGAGCAAGGTGTTAAGTTTGTGTATCATTTGTTTGGAGTAGCTTGAAGTTAAAGAGAAAAGTCGGTTATGAGTCCTAAAATCAATGTAAGTTAAAGGTTCTTTTAAGTGTTTAATGATTTAGTAATTAACATATTGATGAACTTTTGCAACTTGCCTAGGGAAAAAGAACATGACCTAGAAAGGCGCTACGAACTGCTGAA